TTGAAGTGGTTTCCAGAATATCCTCTTTTCTTAGTCTTTGTTAGATGTATTCCAGTGTCTTCATAACCAAGGGGAACATCTTCTTCTTGTTCTGGATCCTCATAATCTTCCACACTGTTTTGAATAGTTGGAGCTAGTCCACTTAGTTTCCTTGGGCATTGAGCAATATAATGTCCTTGCAGCTTACAGTAATGACATGTTCCTTTGTCAATACCATTCTTGTTTCCAGTATGATTTCGTCCCTTCATAGAGTTTATTCCAGGTTCTTGCTTCACTTGAGGATAAAGCTGTCCAAAAGATCCTGAAGGGTGTATGGGACTTCTAAATTGATAAGATGATACATGAGCTTCAGCACCTAGAAATTCCTGAAACTGCAGATCTACCCAGATACAGCAAAAAAAACAGGGTTCTTCAAAAATCATATTCTTCTACAAAGTTCGAATAAAGAAGAGTCCAAAATGCAAAAATTAGGGTCCTCCAAAATCTAAAGCCTTCTTCAATAAGCAGGCTCTCTTTCTAAAAAATAAACAGGGTCCTCCAAAACACAAGGCCGATATTAAGATTCTGCCATAAATAATGCCTTTCCAAATACATAACCCTTTACAGAATTCTGCAAAATAGGAAGGACTCTGCCAAAAAAAAATTGTTCTCCAAAATGGTGGTTGCGATTTCAATCAGATATTATGTCTGTCAAATTATATATACAGAACCAATTAGGAAATAATTTTTGTTCAGAAAGTTCAAAATTACAGAATCTTAAGAACTAAAAGAAAATTATTGTCTGCAAAAAAGTTAGTCAGCTGTTAGATGCAACTTTATCAATTGCGAAATTTTTCTCCGAAACTTTTTTTGCGGATGTTCCATGGCGACATACTATTTTATCAGTTGGATCTAGGATCAGTTAGTAGGCTGACCCTTCAAGCTACAGGATAGCAACTAGATTATATAAACCTTTAAGCTACAGGATAGCAACTAGATTATATAAACCTTTAAGCTACAGGATAGCAACTAGATTATATAAACCTTCAAGCTACAGGATAGCAACTAGATTATATAAACCTTCAAGCTACAGGATAGTGTAGTAGGATGCCTTACTACATGTGATAGTTACTAGTTAGAACAGAACTACTCCTGTATAACTACTATCTCTGCAAAGTTGAAAACTATAATGGTTAAAAGATATTTATTAACAGTCTTTATGCAAGCACACAGTATATAACTTNACCGATAATGACTTTTAAGTACAGGGTGTCCCAATAAACATCGGAATTGAGAGACGAATTCGAAATCGTCTTTGCAAAGAATAAGCGTTGTGTTATCTAATTTCAATGGTTAAAATAATGTAATACAGTATGCAATAAAAACATAAACAAACAAATTCTAAACTCTAGCAGACGGATTAAAGCTTTCCTATTAAGCATCACCATACCATGCCATGTTTATTGGGACACCCTGTACCATCGTTCCTTAATTTTGCAACCGCCTATTAAAAAATTTCTAGCGATAACTCTGTTAACAAACGATGATTTAATTTTAAAATTTTAAGTATTTCCAAAAAATTTTAATTTAAATTTCAACAAGACTTTAATTTTCATTGAAAACAAAACTAAAGATTTTAGATTATTACTTGCTTGTTTTTCAAGACTATGAAGGGTTATGGACATTTTTAAAAGGTTCCAAAAAAAAATCTAGAAAGTTTTACAAAGTTCCAGTTTACTTTTGTTGCGCTTTTTATCAAAATTTTACCCTGAGAGCCTTCTACGAGATTAAAAACTTAAAGGAACTTTGATTTCATATGACCCTCCATGCAAAGATAGCAATGCCCGATTCACAACGATAACCTTCAAAAGCCTAATTGTATGATTATCCAGTATCTCGGTTTTCTGCTAGCAGACTGTTAACTAGTCCAGGATTTAACAAATATTTCTTCTTCTAGTGCAATATCTCAGTTTTCTGCTAGCGGACTGTTCACTAGTCCAGGATTTGGTTCTTCGCCCCTTTCTCCACCTTCAGGGCTTCCCTTACTAAATCAGGTTTAACTAAATATAAAAAAATCTAGTATATTTTCTTTTAAATATTTGTTCTAAATAACGAAAAAAATCTATTGATACTGATTTTACTTTATTTTGGCGTCAAACTTTTTTTGTAGAAACATTAAAAAAATTAAAGTTAAATTTTCTAATTCACAATTTTATTTTGTTTTATATTTTTGGTAATGATTTCTTAAAGTTTTTTTTGTAAAATTAGATATTTTTTTTTTCAGGTGAAACTTGAACCTGGTCTGAAATCTGGGATGAAGGAATTCATTAGAAAAAATTTAAGTTTGCCAAAAAAAATCATCAAATCCCCAAAAAATCCAATGTTAATTCAATAAAGAATACATGAATGAATGAATTTTATTCTTCAATTGAAGAATTAAATAAGGAGATAAATAAAATATTAAACAAATAATACAACGTAAATGAGGAATTATTGAAACAATTAAAGTAAATATAAAATAAGTAAAAAAGAAAGATTACAGATCAATGAATTATTCACTTTCTAAAAAAATTTATGGCCGGATGAATAAATAAGTAAATAAAAGATTTATGAAATGAATGGATGAATGGTTAAATTAAGGAATGAATGAAAGGATGAATTGAATGATGAATGAATGAACATACTACTGAATTATTCACTAAAAGTCTAATATAAAGAATCCCTTGAACGAATTTGAATGAATGAGTAAAAGGATGAATTAAGAATGAATGAATGAATTATTAACTAATGAATTATTTCCCAGAAACTTCATATAAAGAAACCCTTGAATGAATGAATGAATGAATTAACAATGAATGAATGAATTATTAACTAATGAATTATTTCTTAGAAACCTCATTTAAAGAAACCCTTGAATGAATGAATGAATGAATTAACTAATGAATGAATGAATTATTAACTAATGAACTATTTCTCAGAAACCTCATATAAAGAAACCCTTAAATGAATGAATGAATGAATTAACAATGAATGAATGAATTATTAACTAATGAATTATTTCCTAGAAACCTCATATAAAGAAACCCTTGAATGAATGAATGAATGAATTAACTAATGACTAAATGAATTATTAACTAATGAATTAATCCTTTTATCTTTGCAGCCCGATGTCGTACCTAGAAATTAAATAATTAAATAATCTATGCTTGAAATATCACCATCAGTTGCAAAGATATAAGGATTAGAAAATTTGAGTTTGTGGCAAAGACTCAATTCTTCTGTAAAGATGCATGCACACTCAGTTGCACAGTTTCGCGGATTTTTTTTAATGTTCCAAAAATATTTTTGAAATTTTCATCACTTCTCTTGTGTACGCCTACAATCTGAAGCATACAAAAATGTTTAACATTTTGTCCAAAACATTGAAAATCCAGTTACAAGAATATTATTCAGTAGTAAGTTAAATGAAAAATAATAGAATTTTTTTTAATTAAAAAAACATTCAAACATTTGAACATAACCTAAACCTTTTGCATTTTGAAGTGCTGAACATTTATATATTAATATATTTATATATTCTATTATTATATTTCATATATATTTTAAACTTTTTCTTTTGTCTTTGTTGTGAAAATGCACAAAAAGTTTAAAAGTAAATGATTTTTTTCTGAAACTTGTTTGTGAGTAAGGAACTTGAGGTGTTGAGGTGTATTCGGTTTATAAAGAGGGAAAAGTATTTATATCTATGGCTGTAAGGTGGGGGAAGGGGATCCAAGAATTCGGTTCCTTTGAAATCTAAGAACCGTCAATTGATAGGTTAGTCTCTACGCGGTGTAGTCTGCTGGCCCAAACTCTACGCGGTATCAAACTTGCGAAGTTTCCTTGACATTAAATCATACTCAGTTTCTAAATATCAATTTGATCAATACATTTATTTTTCTCGTTTTTGCCAAAAAAAAATTGAATAGCCTAGTAAAAACATTCTAATACATATCTTCAAATCTGTATTGATAGATGAGATATTTGTCAAGTTTTGTGTTTTACTAAATTCCCTCTTTACCCCCCCCCCCCCAGGCCGATTCCGGCTTTTTAACATTTCATCTCATATTACAACTGCCCGTTCACTAGTTCATGAGTAAAAACACTATTTTGTGACGTTTTGTGGATAAATTATTAAAACGTTATATATCATGCATGTTAACACTTAAAAAATACGAATTTGTTCTGAAAAGTAATCTTGCTTTTTTTACTTTTTAAATTATATTCTTTTCTATTAACTCATTCAACAGAATTAATTCCTTGTGATTACCAGACCTACTTACCCTACATACCTACATACCTAATTACCAACCCTCCTACCTATACCTACCTACCTACCTTACCTTCCTACCTTCCTACCTTCCTACCTTCCTACCTATCCACCTACCTTCCTACCTACCTTCCTACCTTCCTACCTATCTACCTACCTTCCTACCTACCTACCTATCCACCTACCAAAATTTTTATTTTCCCTTTTTTCCGACCACTTTTTCCTTTTATACTTTTTCCTTTTTTTTTCTTTAGTTCAATATTTCTACATATTCGTTAAAGAAAATTACACCTATGTGTTTTTATTCAAAACTTCACTCGTTGAAGAAATTTTAAAGAAATTATTAGTAAGTTTCCTTTTTCTATATCAAAACAGAAGAACTGCGATGTCCCAAAGTCGTAATAGTAATATCGTACAGTGAAACCCTTAGTAATGAATACATCGGAAGAATTTACCAAATGTCGTCTTGACAATTTTTCAATGAGTTTTATACTATATTACGTAAATTTCAGTATTTGCGAAAATAAATAAATAGCCATGAATATGCGGGAACAGTTTTAAAGAGTTCCATATAATCATTTAATTAAAAAACTAAATATCTGCAACATTCCATTATTAGAAAGTGAAGAATACGACATTTGATGAATTCTTTCGATGTATTCGTTAGTCTCCGGTACTATAAAGTAGGGAAAAAAGTCCTAAAGTATTCCTAATGAAAGGTCTGTTTTGTATATATGTAACCCGATAAATTTCCTTTTAATATCAAAAACAGAAGAACTACAATGTCACAAAGTTATAAAAGTAATATCGCACACATTTGATCTTATCCTTTCATCTAGTTCCCAGTGATAGTATAGATCAGAAGGTCCTAAAATATTCCTGATGAAAGGGCCTGTATGTTACTGTAAGATGAAAAGTTGTTAATTAGTGATTAAATATTTATTTTGATTTTATTCTTTGATCTAAAGAATTTTTGACTTTTTTTACTTTAATGTTTTATCATGGACAAACAGTAACGATTACTGGAGTGTGAAGATAGAAAAAAAAGATGGAATTTTTCATTTTTTTGCAAAAATTCCTTTTTATTGTCTCAATCTCCTGGGATGTTTGCTTAATCAACTATCTGTCTATATGTCTATCTGTCTATCTTCATATCTGTCTATCTCTGTCTATCTGTCTATCTGTCTATCTGTCTATCTGTCTATCTGTATAACTGTCTATCTGTCTATCTGACTATCTATCAATATATTTAAACACCTGTTTTGACAGCCTAGCAGGTATTTAAGTAAAGTATCTATGTTGTGATCTGACCGGCGCGCTAGCCTGCGCCGGTAACATCAAAAGCTTGTTAGCCGGGTCAACTTAGCATCTTAATTCATCAATGTCACAGGGAGAGTGGGGAAAAAAATATTTCAGAATTATTTGAACTTTTTTTGAAACCCCTCCTTAATAAAGTAAGATAATTCGCATTAAATGTATATTTTTTAGACATAATTTTTTTCCATCTCCTCTCTCAACAAATGACCGTAAAATTTGCTAAATCCCCGAAATTGTGTGAAAAAGTATAAAAAATGTGAAGAATCTGGATTCCTTGACATATCCTAACAATCTTACTTCCCTACTCACGGTAGGGAGTATACAAGGAAATTAGGAATAACAAATTTTGAAAACAAAAAAAAATTTTCTTTTAAAGAAATAAAATTTTAGATGACAAAGAAATTTAGAAAAAAACTAATATTAAAAACACGTCGGAACAAATTTTTCGTTTAACTATAAAACATTTTTTCTGGCCCAAAATCGACAACACCCCCCCCCCCTTCCTTCTCTCCACACCATTCCCAGGGAGGGCTGATTCGTGTCTTTTGTACAAAATTGGAACAAAAATGTCATAGATATTAAACCATATTTCACCTTTTTTCAGGAAAATTGGACCCTGATGGACCCCCCTTCACTCCTCCTGGATACATTGGTCTCTCCCCCTACCCTTACCATTCTACACCCCTGGTAAGTCAATTTTAAACTCCTTGAAAATAAAAACATTAAAAAAGTATGAAATGTAGATTTGTATAACTATGGCCAAAGGACACTTCAAAGTCAGCTCTTTTTAACCCCCCC